CAACGAATAGTGGGATTGAATGTCACATTATAGCGCCCCCACTGCTAAAAGGACGAGCATGTTTTGGTGGGATGGGGGCGCGAACCCGCAGATTGCGAGTCGAGCGTCCTACCCACCTGGCCATGCCGGGCCTCACAGTTGCCATCATCAGTTGGCTGAAATATATATAAAGATTATACTTTTCATTGTACCAGAAAACTTTGTTTTTGTTTTGTTTTTTACTCTTAAGCCTACTTACATTCCACTACTATATGAGGCCTCTTTTGGCAATAAAAAAAACGACTTTTGCTCTCCAGATTATTTTCACATCAAACAGTTCTTATTCTATTAACTCTGATAAAGCTGCAATGGCGAAACGTTGGCTGAGATAAAATGTTTTTAATAGTATCTGGCGAGTGACGGTGTTTTTTTTTCTTCTAACTTTATTAACAAAATATCTAAATCTCTCCAATATGCACCACAAATTCTGAAAAACAAAATTCGTGATGTCTTTATTTGTTTGTATGATTGTTTGTAATTAAGCACAAAGTTACATAATTGGCTATCTGTGCTCTGCCCACCACGGGTATCGAAACCCGGATTCTAGCGTTGTAAGTCCGCAGACATACCGCTGCCACTAGGGGGCACGTGATGTCTAATCCATTTACTTGTTTGACTGATAAACTATGAATTGAGTGAAACTAGCCTGTATCAGAAGTAACGAATCAAAAAATGAATTAGGCCTAAAAATAGATTAGGCCTAAAAATGGATTAGGCCTATAAATAGTCTTTTCTTCACTGAAATTCACTTTGACGAATTGTGAGTAATCTTTGTATATTTAAATATGAAAATACACTTGTGAGTAATCTTTGTATATTTAAATATAAAATACACTTGTGAGTAATCTTTGTATATTTAAATACAAAATACACTTGTTAGTAATCTTTGTATATTTAAATACAAAATACACTTGTGAGTAATCTTTGTATATTTAAATATAAAATACACTTGTGAGTAATCTTTGTATATTTAAATACAAAATACACTTGTGAGTAATCTTTGTATATTTAAATATAAAATACACTTTCTAAGGCACGTGCACGTGTTTCTCGAGTGCTTGTGTAAGGTTTTTATTCAGTTATATTCCAGTTTCTATTTTAAAAACAAATTTAATAACTGTGGAACTTATAGGGCTCTAATTATTGATTAATATTATACAAAACATATTCAGAAATGGGTGGGGTTCATTTATCCTGGATTTGAGACATTTATAACTCAGCAACAGAGAATTTCAAACGGGCATACTTTTCACGCCCACCATATTATCTTGACCTACTGAGATTATCTTCAGACAACTTTAGTTTTTAAAACAGCTGTACGAATTTGGATTTGTGTACCACACCGAATTGTACCGATAGAGGACACGCGTTATACCTTAACAGAGACATTGAAAAGTGACGTCAAGCTGTTCACGCCCTGAATGTGATCGGTCCAACTTGTAATGATATATCGACGGTAAGTAAAGTTATTCTTTTGTCTCTGAACACCTCACGTGATCAACAATTAATTACAAACATTGTTAAGCAAAATTATTACAAATTAATCATCCTTGAATCGTTGAAATTAGATACATATATATTACTAACTCGAGTACTCGTCTCCTGGACGGAAGTTATGTAAATTTATAATTAATGAAAGGATATTGTTACGTCTCCGTTCGTTAGCTAATTTTCCGTAACTTCGTTCCGACGAAACTTTAGCGACACAAGTCCTTACTTAATAAAACTGGTTTATTCTTTCTGAATATAACTTCACCGATACACTTATATTCAACAGTCGCTCTATAACAAACGTTTTAACAACGAACGTTAACTTCAACAATACTTTCTGACTGCAGTTCAATTACTCACTACCTACACACACATTGTCACGTCACGCCGTGACCATCTTATGTATACCTGACTACCCTATATCTAGTAAATGCTAGGGCATTCACGAGGGAACTAGATATTTCCAGAAAGCAGGTGGCATGACACTAGTCACGTGACCTCGCTGACGCAACAATATCTTAGGACATGAAAAGTTGCTTTCCTTATGTGTAATTGTAAAAAACGCAAAAACATCCATAAAAACTGTAAAACACAAAATGTGAAATCACAAATTTTACAGGTATCTCCACATGGATCCAACAAACCTTCATGCCAAATTTGGTGAAGATCCATCAACAGGAGGCGATGTAGTGGTAAAAAACGCCCATAAAAACCTCAATATGCAAAATTGAAAATCTGTATGTATCTCTCCATGGACCTAATGAACATCCACACCAATTTTGGTGAAGATCCATTGACACTCTGCGAAGTAGTTACATGGACATACAACAGACAGTACTATTATATTTATATATATACATAAAACATACAGTACTATTATATTTATATAGATAACATACAACAGACAGTACTATTATATTTATAATAATTACATTATACCCAATGTGGTATTTTTGGCTTAGAGAAATAATGCCGCCAAGGTACCCCCCCCCCTCCGCTTCCAGTCGCACAGTCGTAAGTGTGTGTACTTATAACACTAGAAACTAGGTTTCGATACCCGTGGAGGGCAGAGCTAAATCTGTAGTTTTGTGCTTAACTGCAACCAAAGAAACAAGCAGGAGATTCGAAGATCTGACTAGATCAAAAGTGAATGTAAGAACAAGTGAAAAAGAAAAGAAAGAACCAAGTTTGACGAACAGGACTATTGTTTAATGTATGTTTCACGTAAAATTGTGTTACACGTCTTCCAGGTTGAGAAGATAATAAAACTATCCAATGAAGTAGTGGATACATTTTTTGATGGTCAAGCTGCAAAAGAACATTACTGACGCTCAATTTGCACACGATCTCTACCAGATTTAGTGAGTTTTGTAGATAAAACATTAAGGTATGCAACACCAGTGTATTCGCTAATCATACGAACAGAATCGTCGATCTTTTACACTTAAGTTAAATACGTATGGAGTTCAAATCAGTCAAATTATGTAATTGTCAATGTTAACGAAGTTTTGGATGGATGATATCAGGTAGAAAAACACAGTTTTCAGTTCGACGATGAATAATATGGGGGGGGGGAGAATGTGTGCCATTTTTTTCATGGAAATAGGAGAAAAGAAAGCGATCACGTGCGTATACAAGTTTCACGTGCGTATACAAGTTAACGTACCCTAGTCGTTGGCCTAATAGTATACGTAACGGTCGTGAAGCTGTAGGAAAACACATGTTATCAAGAAACAACTAGACAGCCTCCATTACAAACTTGTTCTGATTCATTGTTAGTATTACCAATCATTTTTTGATATTTTAAGGAACCTTGTTTTCAGTCATTGTTGGTAGTATCGATTTTTGTGTTTTACAGAATGAAGAGGAAAAAACACACGAAGACTGTGACCTCAAGGTAAATTATAAATCATATGAATTGTACTTTTGGTGTTATAACACATTCGGTGTTATAATATTAAGCACTTTTTATATTTCCTATTTTGTCGTTTCACATTCGGTGTTATAATATTAAGCACTTCTTATATTTCCTATTTTGTCGTTTTACATTTGGTGTTATAATATTAAGCACTTTTTATATTTCCTATTTTGCCGTTTCACATTTGGTGTTATAATATTAAGAACTTTTTATATTTCCTATTTTGTCGTTTCACATTTGGTGTTATAATATTAAGCACTTTTTATATTTCTTATTTTGTCGTTTCACATTTGGTGTTATAATATTAAGCACTTTTTATATTTCTTATTTTGTCGTTTCACATTTGGTGTTATAATATTAAGCACTTTTTATATTTCTTATTTTGTCGTTTCACATTTGATATTATTTAGAGAGCCTAAAAAAGAAATGACAAATTTTAAAATCTACTGCGATAGTCAAGATAACCATATTAATGAGTAAATCCATTATGTTCTTTAAAAACAAGAAGTCCTAAAATGTTTACCCTCTGTGCCTATCTATAGGCGTTGCTGCCTTAGCTGACACCCCATTGGAAGCTCTTACCAAATGAGACTCTAGGTGGAGCTTGAAATGTCGTCAAGAGTTCCTAAAAAGTTTACCCTCTGTGCCTATCTATAGACGTTGCTGCCTTAGATGACACCCCATTGGAAGCTCTTACCAAATGAGACTCTAGGTGGAGCTTGAGATGTCGTCAAGAGCTCCTCAATATTAGAAATTAAGAAAGAATATATATATAGTTTAACAGACAAACAGTGGAATTAATACTATAAAAAAAATAAAAATACAATCATAATCTCCACGAGATTCTCATACAGATAGAGTATGGGTATTTTCAGGAGATTTGATATATTTTTGCAAAATAGTTCTTCTTTCCCAGAGCGACTAACTTTGTGAAAATGAAGTAAGGAGACTGGACACATTTGTAAACAATCTTTATTTAAAACTCAAACACAGTGTGTGTACTTGCTTTGAACGTTGGACAATCACCTTTACTTGGTCCAAGTCTCACTTGTTGAGATCCCGACTATGTAAATCTAACGTTACTTAGATAACTCGGTAACATCAGACTTATCTATAGCGACTAGCGCTACCACGTGATTGGTGATTATCATTCAGATATAAGGGTAGTTGTAATCTTGAGGCATCACCTGACTTATCTACTGCATATCTACATTCATGCACAAGGTACAGGCAGCTTTACAGCCATACCCTCCACGGAGAGACCAGCGTGCTATCTCAAGTGAATGATAAAGAACAAAGATAGGCAGAACGGAAGCAAATTAATGATTTATTGACCATGTGCTGTGTGGAAACTGCATATGCCTATAATAACTGATTAATTAAAAAAAAGCACTATATTATATCAAGACGTTAGAAAACGAATTGTGTGCCAATATGACACAAGTGTCCAAACATGATAAAATCATTTTCTTTTATAAGCTGCATATACAAAAATCTGTTGTTTTTTTTACATAATAACCCTTTCTCTCTTTCCCTGTACAAAATTTAAACGTCTGCCGCTTTGTCTCTGTTAACCCCTGAATTAAAACTGGTGTAAAAAGATAAACTTGTTTCTATGTATTTCAATAAGATACTACTTGAATACTAACCTGAATACTATCTTTTTATCACTATCTTTGATCGATGTAACTTACGATTTAATCTACACCACAGATCATGTACAATTGATTCTGCGTAAGTGACATATACTTGCCCGATGAATTTGATAAAAAAAAAAGAAATAGAAAAAATAAACAATGGAAGAAAAAATAAAACAGATAGTTCGTTTTTGAAAACTTATTTGAGAAGTCGTGGAGGTTTTTATCTCTTAGTATTTTGTATTAATAGGTGTATATTTTTCAACCTTTATTTTTAGATAAGTGTCCCTCAAACAACGAAACAAATATGTCAAGAAAGTACGAATAAAAACGTACTCTATGGTGTGGAGGACGTTCCACCTTGGTATCTTTGTATCCTGTTAGGCATACAGGTAATCTTTAGGTTTATGTTTTGTTTTGATAATTTTGTCCACTGTTTTTTTTATTAACTTGCCAAAAGCATAAATATAATGTTTGTAGACTTTTTTTTTTTAAAGTGTGATGTATGCAGATATGGCTCAGGATATACAACAAAATCTAATGATAATGGCTGGAGACGGCTTAAATGGGTAATGAAGAAAAACTTTAATATAAGTTTAACATAACAGCAAATGTACAACGTTTCGACAAGGTTTTGTCATCATCAGGTACCTGATTTAGAGTGTGGGAGGAGTGATACTTTTATAGAAAAAGAAAGGAAACAAGTGGCAAAGTTATACTGTGACAGGAAGGGGGAGGTCCAAGGGAATGTCCTCCTAGAACAGTTTGTAATTTTCACTGAAAAAGGTGTATTTGATGGTTTCTGATGTTGTCTTTTCACCTTAAATATGTTTTATAAATGCATGGGTGTAATTTCGGGGTGCGATGGCCCCACCCCTGATTACACACGTGCAAGAGATGATAATAAACCATTCACTCGTTATGAATCAAATTTATCATTCTTTCTAAACGTGCAACAATTTTTTATCCGTTTCTCATGTAATTATATCTCCTGCAGAAAGTAAAACAAACTTCTATCGTTGTATACATTGCGTTGATTGAATTATGTGTAAAAAGGCAGACTTGAACTTTGCCCTCTTCCTAGCACTATCTCACGATGTTTGGAGCCACCGTAACCTATCCTTTTCTGATTACTCCTAAACTCTGTATTAGAGAGGACGACCCCGCTCGTGGATATATCACTGCAACCAACTTCTTTGTATCAGGATTAGCGACATTGTTTCAAACTGCTTTAGGAGTGAGGTAAGACAAACAAAACTTACGTTTGAAATAAGTACTCTTAGAAAAATGACGTCAGAGTTTTACTTTTCTCATTTATTACTAGGTATGATGAACTTGAATACAAGGAGAAATTATTTTATCATCCCTAGTTTTATAAATGGGAATTTGGCAGACGATAAAGGAAGTTTAGTAATATATAATGGCAGACGATAAAGGAAGTTAGGCGCCATCTGTTGAGTAATATATAATAATATGATATACTAATTTAAACATTTTATCGCAAAATATACCAGAAAATTTAATAAAAGTAAAAGTGTTTTAAAATGTTAAAAACGTACCTTATTTTTGTATTTTAAAAACAGTAATGGCAATAAACTCTTACCTAGATCTACCAAATGATTTCTTACATCTCACCTGTACTTACCAAATGACTCTACTTAAGACATGGATTAATAACTTTCTGTAATACTTACTAAATGGTTCCATAACTATTATTCACAGAATGTAAAGGTACAACACTAACAAATTGACATACACAGAAGTGAAAACGTTGTAACAGCTACAAACTGGCATACATAGGGAAAGGCCTTGGAGTCGAGGTTAATAGGCTATAATTTATAACACATTTTGATATATCTTGACAGTTTCTTGCTCATAACGTTTATCAGTCTTAGTAATATCTATCAATATTTAACACGCCATTTTACTGACTTTAAAACATTATTTTAAGACACTGTAAACATTATCGGCTGCAGCTAAGTCTTCTCAAGCATTTTACGTAAAAGAACAATAAGAGAAAAAATAGGTTTATAAAACTTTAAAATAAATATAGATTTTCGATTTGTTAGACAAGTTAATTATAGTTACCTTAATACTTATAGTAAGTTAAAAAGTAGGTGTATAACAGCCATGTTATGACTTTACTGCAGAAGAATAATTATTTCTCTGAGATTATTCCGTTAGGTGTCGCTGGGATACTTTAGATAATAATAAAAAAAAAATTTCAAAGTTATTCATGGCTAGTATCGTTCATCAGTGTTAGTTTAACAAATACTTATTTTAAATTAATGTTTTAATTTTAGACTTCCAATTATCCAAGGATGCACCTTTACACTGCTCGTTCCAACATTCGCCATCTTGGATCTTCCACAGTGGAGATGTCCAAATCAAACAGAAATAATCGCCGCTAGAGGGACAAACCTGTCTTCATATGTCGTAACGGAAGAAGAATGGGAAGAGTTGTGGCAATCGAGAATGAGAGAAGTAATATAGAATATAACCTTTGTTGTTATGGAACAAGTACTGTAAAATATAACCTTTGTTGTTATGGGACAAGTACTGTAAAATATAACCTCTGTTGTTATGGGACAAGTACTGTAAAATATAACCTTTGTTGTTATGGGACAAGTACTGTAAAATATAACCTTTGTTGTGTTGGGACAAGTACTGTAAAATATAACCTTTGTTGTTATGGGACAAGAACTGTAAAATATAACCTTTGTTGTTATGGGACAAGTACTGTAAAATATAACCTTTGTTGTTATGGGACAAGTACTGTAAAATATAACCTTTGTTGTTATGGGACAAGTACTGTAAAATATAACCTTTGTTGTTATGGGACAAGTACTGTAAAATATAACCTTTGTTGTTATGGGACAAGAACTGTAAAATATAACATTTGTTGTTATGGGACAAGTACTTTAAAATATAACCTTTGTTGTTATGGGACAAGAACTGTAAAATATTACATTTGTTGTTATGGGACAAGTACTGTAAAATATAACCTTTGTTGTTATGGGACAAGTACTGTAAAATATAACCTTTGTTGTTATGGGACAAGTACTTTAAAATATAACCTTTGTTGTTATGGAAAAAGTACTGTGAAATATAACCTTTGTTTGTTGTTATGGGTCATTCTATAAATTGAACAATACTGAGTTTTTATATTAAAAACAATCAACCTCGTGATATCGAACATAGTTTTAATTAGTTCAATTCCAACAATGAACTGTAAGAGAAGTGTGTTTTACTGTTTTCAGGTTCAAGGTGCTATAATTATTGCTTCATTGTTTGAAGTATTTATTGGTTTCACTGGGATTATTGGGTATCTTCTTTATTGGATCACACCACTCGCCATTGTTCCAACAGTTGCTTTGATTGGTCTTCCATTGTTTCGAGAAGCTACTGGTTCAGCCAGTCAAAATTGGGGTATAGCTATTTTGTAAGTACCCACCCTTGTTTATGGTTTATTTTGGTTTTCATATCTTATTTTTTTTCTCATCCATTTTATATAGTCTTAATTTATTTTCTTCGTAATAAATGAAGTAAATCATTACACTGACTTCTTGTATCGTTGCTAATACTTATTTAAATATATTTTCTTCTCTCTATACTACCACTTTATTTATCTGTCTTTCTTTTACATGATATTTCACTTATTTTCAAACTAGATTTCCGAAAATATTATTATTTTGTTTGTTTTTACAATAATTTATAGTAGAAGTTTATTAAATTCCAGAACGATGTTACTCATGGCCTTTTTTTCACAATATTTACGTAACGTCGACTTGCCCGGATGTTCATACAAGAAAGTCGACGGGTGGAGACTTCGAAAATTTCCATTTTTCAAATTGTTTCCGGTAAGTGTATTGTTTGATGAATATTTGTTGACATTTTGTGGTTTTGAATATTTTTTTGTAAATGTATTTACTTAATTTTAATCTGGAATCTAAAGTTTTGAAAGGCATAAAATCCAGAAATTTGTAATATAACGATTCCAAATTTATTTATCATTTATGTGAAATTTGATGATTTTCTTTTTACTAGTGAGAAAAATTTTTAAATAAAATGATGTCTAAACCTTCATAAAAATGTAGTAAACCTGGCAATTTATGATGTCAAATTAGATTAATATATATGCATCAAACAATTCCATCCTCATTCCCTGTGTTCTGGAATTTTGACCGTTTTCAAAATCCCAGTTGGTTACCATTGTAACGAAAGAGGTGACCATTAGTGTGACCTTGAAGCTAGATTAATCAATGGCAGTTCCATTGATCCTGGAGAAGGGGTGAATGGAATTCAACCGTTATACAGAATCTTATCAAAATCACATAAAAATTTTCTAGATATAATGTCCACACACACAAATCAAAACGGTACCTCATCCGTTCTTCGGGAGAAAATGATAAATTAGAAACGTAAAGTAAATAAAAACAATAAATGAGGAAAAGTTTTTTTTTTTAAAAGCGCGAGTGAGTTATGTAGATTGTTTAAATTGTATTAACTTAATTAACACGTAAAATAATAATATATTAATGAAAACTAGACAAAAACATTTAATTTAACATAATCAAGGAAGCGATAACTTCATTAATTGATAAGGTAGAGAAAATAACATATAAAAACTTTTAATAAAAATTATTTTGAAGTTTATTTATGAGGCTCATGAAAACAAAATAAGAAAAATGTAGGCTGACTGAGGCTATATAAATTTAGAAACAAATCCTTAATAAAAAACTCTGATTTTCTGTGTACAGCAGACTTGTAATATTTGCTGAAAGCCAGCCAAATTTCATGAAGATACACTTACTACATTAAAAGTTATAGTATGTATAATTTCATGGTGTTTACAAGGTTGGTCGAAATGACCAAGCCTTTATACAGAGAATGATATCACCATAGCGTGTGTCTAATTCCTTGAATTATGTTTTGAATGAAATTGAAAATAAGGTATTTGACATAAAAAATAGAAAATATGTGATTCTAACAACCCATGAATGAGAGTAAAGGAGAATATGATAGCTCCAGTGTCGACTAGGCCTTTCACCCAATACCAGGACTCATCAGGCTGGCTGTGATACAATAGATATATTAATGGTCTGGACGCTATATCTGTCATTAACCTTCATGAACAACAACATTATTTATGGTGTAAACCAGAATAAGAAAGTGAATTCCAATAATTTTCTAACTTATTTAAGTCATTTAGAAATCAGACATTCAGCACAAGAATAAACAATACAATATTATTTATTAAATATTTAAGTTAAAACTTATAATTTAATTATTCATTATTATTTTGCATTTGGATTAACTTTACTATTAATCACAAGAACTGGCGAACCAGCAAGCTTGTTTTCTCTCGAAGCAAGAAATGATGATAACGTCAACGTGAATTAGGCTCAGTGTTTCTGAAAGCTCGTTATCGCCAAAGTGTCTAATGATCTATACTATTATTCTGCTTGTTTGTATGTACGACCGCTACGCTTTCTGACCGAGAACCTGCTGCATAAGCATGCGTAGTTAGAATGTTTCCCAAAGAGAAACCGCGCATGCATATTATTCACTCGACAACAAACAGTCTGCCTGCGGCAGAGAGCTGCAAAGCTCAGTGATCAAGTCGCTACAATTGCTGTATGAAACAAGAAGTAACAACAAAAGGGGAATGTAAATATACTTTACTAACCATATTGTACAACAGAATAACAGGTCGTAGAATAACACTATAAGTTTATTTATCGATAGTATTAAGTACAGTAAAGATTAGTCATAACAAAACTGAAAAAAAAAAAACGTACACAGGTTACAGTGTTAATTT